TGACAAGGTTTTCCTCGATACTAATATCCATGGGCCCTCCATATTCTCCATGCCAATCAATTCTCCCCTATCAGAGAGGTGAATTACCAGGGTGCAGAGATTTAGGGAATTGGCAGAAAAGTTAGAGGGGCTTGAGGAAATATCTTGTAATCCTTGAGGATGGTCCATGTAGAAACGCTACTCAGTTTGATGGTTGAGGCCAAAGTCCTCAACCCATGTGAAGCCAACCTGGATCTATACCTGAAGCACTACACCTGCAAGGATATAGACCAGGAGCTGGTAAGCGGAAATAGAATGGGCAGCTAGTTCATTCACACAGTGGGCTGAGTGGTCTTTTTCAGTGTTGCAACTTTTTTTTTTAGTTTTATGGTTCTTTGTTGAATCTGCACAACCATATCAGTATTTTATGTGTCCAGTTATTAATTCCTTCATAACAGATTCTAAAATTTTTTGACCACTGATGTAAAACTAAGAGGTCACTTGGTCTGAGATAGCAAGAACTGCTGATGGTGGAGCTGGAGGAACGCAGCAGGCCAGGCAGCATTGGAGGAGCAGGGAAGTTGATGTTTCAGGTCAGGACCCTTCTTTTCTCAGTCTCTTCTTTCTTAAATAGTGGGGTTGCATTTGCTACCTTCCACTCTGTGAGAACTTACCTGGAATCTGTAGAATTTTGAAAGTCAATGCATAGACTATCTTTACATCCATCTCCTTCTGTATTCTGGGATGTTGCTCCTCTGGTCTAGGAGATGTGTCAAACATCAAACTAATTCATTTATCAAGTACTATGGCTTTATTAATACTTATTTCTTTAATTTCTAACTTTCACAAGTTCCATAGTTTCCTGGCATTCTTAGATTTTCTACATCTTCTTCTGTGGATAAGACACAAATCAATTGTTTTAGTTTATCTGTCATTTCCCTATTCTCCAGTCTTCGTCTGTAATAGACCCATTTTTGTGCACATTAATCTTTTACTCTTAACTTATCTCACAAAGTTTTTATAGCCTGTCTTTGTAAGATTGTAAGAAATAAGAACAGGACTATGGTGCTGAGCCCTTCAAGCCGAGCCCACCACTCAGCAGGACCATGCCTGATCCAACATTCCTCACATCCACCTTCCTGTATTTTCTCCATAACCCTTAAGTTACTTGCTAGCTTGCATTCATACTGTAACAACAACCCTCAGGCTTATTTCAACAGGCAGAGTGAAAGAGTAAGCACTGTGTTTTTTTAAATACTGCAGATAGTCTTCTTTTCAAATACTTAAAGGGTAGGCAATTTAAATAGCTTGACAGCTGTCTTTCACATCTGTGTTGACTGCTCACATGTGCCTGACAGTTAAAATGAGTCTAGACTATTTTTACGCTGAACCAATGATGCCTTGTGACAGTCAAGACAGTCAAGTGTACTCTCTCAGTCGTAACCGTGCAAACACAGTGAGAGAGAGAAACAAAAAAGACTTAAAGCCAATTCAGGCAGGAAAAAAGTCTGGAAAATTCCTGTCGGGTCAAATAAGATGACCAAAAGTCAGCTCCCACAGATCATTCCCCTCTGAATCGCACTTGTGAAATTAAAGCATGTAATCTGTACAAAAATGAAACTGTTGTACTTCATGAGATTAAACTAAACCTGTTGCAAGAGTAAAGTGCTGTGGGTGTTGGAAATCTGAAAATAGAAACAGAAAATGCTGACAATGCATTTAAACATTGAACCAGTGATCAGGTTAAACCAGCTAAGATAATGATAGCCAAGTGCATAATTTGGCTCCAAGTCTTGGGTTGAGCTTAATTGATCTCACTCAGGGTGCCGGAGCAGGGCAATGAATTGTCAGCACTGCTGGGTTAGATGCAAGCTATTTGTGTGTGTGTGTGTGTGTGTGTGTGTGTGTGTGTGTGTGTGTTTTCAAATAAAGAGAATGTAAATATCCCCCTGTGCCTAGAGGGCTGTTTTGTTACAGTGGTAGAATCCTTAAGCCTGAGCCAGGGGCCAAAGTTCGAATCCCACTTACCCCAGATGTGTGTAATAGCATGTTTGAATAGGTTGATTAATGTAATGATCTCCCTGTGCTTCCCAGTTTGTGTGTTTCCTTTGGCTTGATTAAGTTGCAGCGCTCAAAAACTAAATACACAGTTGTTGACACTTCAGTGAGGGACTGAAGCAGAGGTTATCCACTTTGGTTGAGATGCAAAACAGTCTGTTCTTTCAGGTGAAGGTAAAGGAGTCCCTACCACTGTTCAATGAAGTAGATTTTCCAGTCATATCCTATTGCTGTTTGTGTGATCTTGCTTTGCACAAACTACCTGTTGTGTTTCCTACATTACAACACTGCCTACTCTTCAAAAGTCATTAACTAACTGTCCAAGAGCTTTGATTATCCTGAGATGGCAAAAAAAATTGAATAAATGGAAGTTCATTTTTCTCACTACTCCCGGGGTTAAATATAGCCAAAGAATTTCTGACTTTGGGAGCGATAAAGTTTCACAGGGGTTTCCTCTCTTCCAGTATTGTAATCTCAGCAGCTCAATGGAAGCCCCAGGCTGTTCCTGACACTGGCCTCTTCCAACACTGGTCTGGCACCCAGAGAGTCATGGGGGCAAGATCACCAAAGGCATTTAAGCAAGGGTGGCATGGTGACTCAGTGGTTAGCACTGTTGCCTCACAGGTTCAGGGCTTTGGGTTTGATTCCACACTTGGGTGACTCTCTGTGTGGAGCTTGCATATTCTACCTATGTCTGCGTGGGTTTCCTCCTACAGTCCAAAGATATGCAGGTTAAGTGAATTGACCATGCAAAATTGTGCAGTCTAGATGTGTTATCCATGGGGATATGGTACAGGGATTAGATGCTTTTCGATAAGGAGATGATTTGTAAGAAGAGATATGGCCTGGGGTAGGTCAGTCATGATCATATTGAATGCCAGGGTAGGTTTGTGGGCCAAATGACCTATTTCTCATGTTCTCAGCGACAGAAGTAGCAGATCAGAGGTTGACTTTCTCTTTTCCCCTGTTTGGGAGACCCTGATCCCTTTGTGACTGTCCTGTAAATTATGATGAAAAGTTACCCAATTGGAAGTGTAAGAATTGCTCGTACTAAAATTAAGATTTAATTACCCCTGACACCAAAAATGTTGAATGTCTCCTTGAATCTCTTATCACAATGGACACTTGCCAGGCTGAATCCATTTCACCATTCAGCTCCTCTTCTCATCTCGTGTTTAATGCAATTGTTCTTCTGGCGTTTGTCAATGTTTGCCGCCCAGCCATGATATTCCAAGCTATTGTTTCTCTCCTTCTTCTTCTGAGATTCCTATGGCCCCAACGCTTCAGTTTATCCACGTTGATATGGAGTTGCTTATTCAGATCTGAGAGTGGCATGGTGGCTCAGTGGTTAGCACTGCTGCCTCACAGCATCAGGGACCCAAGTTCCATTCCAGCTTTGGGTGACTGTCTGTGTGTAGTTTGCGTGTTCTCCCTGTGTCTGTGTGGATTTTGTCTGGGCGCTCCAGTTTCCTCCCACAGTCCAAAGATGTGCGGGTTAGATGGCTTGACCGTGCTAAATTGCCTGTAGTGTCCAGGGATGTGTAGGTTAAGTGGAGTAGCCACGAGAAATGCAGGATTACAGGGATAAGGTAGAGGGGTGAGTGTGGGTGGGGTCCTCTTCAGAGAGTTGGTGTGGACTTGCTGGGCTGAATGGCCTGTTTCCACACTGTAGAACTTCTACGATTCTGAGGAATAATAGTCATACAGCACAGAAACAGACACTTCAGTCCAACCAATCCATGCTGACTGTAATCCCAAATTAAACTAGTCCCACCTGCCTGCACTTGGCCCATATCCCTCCAAACATTTCTTATTCATGTACTTATCCAAATGTCTTTTAAACATTGTAACTGTACCTGCATCCACTGCTTCCTCTGGAAGTTCATTCCACGCATGAACCACTCTCTGAATCTTGTAGACTGTGTTTGAACAAATCTGCTGTGGATATAGTTTCAATGCACACAGATTGTCGTGGAGAAATAGTTTGCTGCTCCACTGCACTTCAATTACTTTTTATTGCTTTGATTTGATTCTTAGCAAAATTAGCATGAGAATTTATAATACATTGTAATTTAGCAGCTAATATGCACACAGCAAGCTACCATGAACAGCAGTGAGATAATGATCAGAAAATCAGTTTTTCTAGTGATGTCGGATGAGGGATAAATATGAGCCAGGATACTGGGGAGAACTTTCTTGCCCTTCTGCAAATTGTGAAATGGGATCTTGTTCATCACAAGGGAGACTTTAAGGTTCAATCCTGTAATTTATAGGCAATTTCTGCTACCACATCCAAGTGGTGCAAACACAGAACATTTCTTCACTCATTAAGTGGCTAACTAAACCAAGGAATTTAGTGATGAATATTGATATCGTTTAGCACTTTCTCACTTCTTTCCAATTCATTAAACATCCCTGCCTGCAGGTTATCAAATATTAAGCTTATTAATTGCTTTTTAGTTTGCAATGCCGACACAGTTGACTTCTAACCTTTCCCTGGTTTTCTTTTCTTCCTGATCTTGTTGCCTCTCCAGCGCTACTCAACTCCTACTTCATATATTAGTCACCTTGATCCTTGACAACTGCAGTGCTCTCTGACCTTCACAAGGTACAGCTCAATTAGAACGTCAATGCATCACAAATCCAACAGATCCCATTCCCATCCCCAAGTTCCATCATCTCTTCAAATTACTCCTAGCCACTTCCAACTAAACAATTGAGACATTTCCTTCCATGTGTGAGGAGCAACCAGAAGTGATTACTTGGTCAGCTCCAGTTCTAAGGAAGGGACCGTCTGCAAACAGTGAACCTACTTTTGCTTCTTACAAAACCTTCTTCGAACATGAGATATCTGCTTCAGTTTGATGGCTAAACTCGCTCGCAAGTTTCCAAAGATATTTAAAGTTGTGTGTGTGTTTTTTTTAAATAATCAGACGTTATTGTTTTTTTCCTTCTGTCCACAGAATTTCTACAAGGAAATCAATCGGGAAGAGATGTATATAAGGTATGTGCATAATAATGTTCAGTCATGACCATGCCATCTGTCTTCTTTATAAGTTCAGCCTTGCAGACTCATAATTCACCTGATATAGTATGATGGCACCAGGCTCTCATAATCTCTTCATTGTTGTTTTCTGAAGTGGAAAGGAAAGTTTATGTTTGCTGTTCAGCAGCAATATGGAATCTGCCTGTTGCTTTGAAATTAAAATTCGGAATGTGAAAAATAATCAAATAATGCAGCAATCAAGAGGGTCCAAATCAGAGCTGAGGCAGAGGTGAATCTTAAATAATCATTGATTAGCTTGCTAGTGTGCCTTTTATCTGATCGTCTAAAATTTAGCCAACTAGTAACATCTCATCTTCGGCCCTTCCCTGAACCACCAAGACTCAGAAACTGAAAGTAACTTTGCTCACATGTGAGGTCACATGTTCTTTGTTCAATCACATTCAGGTCACTAAATAAAGCATTCAAAAAAATCCCAAACTACTCCTTATGCGTAACCGTGTACGCACCCTGCCTCAAGACCGGTATCAATCTAGCAGCGATGTAACTAAGTGCAAGCTCCATTTTGATACTGTGAGCATGTTTACATAATTACAGGATCCTGTAACAGGCCATCAACAGAACATTAGTTCTCGTTTTGTAGGGAATGATGAGGGGATGTGACAGAAATTAGGGCCACGTGCTAAGGCCAGGAAAGCACATGATTAAAAGGAAAAAGATGACATTCTCAATAGTTTGTGTGGTAATGAGTATAGTTGTGTGTCCGCGGCGTTATTAGACTTGTCATCAAATGCTTGAAATAATAATTCAGAAGTCAGATACTTTTGAGCTCATCTCAGTGACTCCACTATAGTTCAGGTCTTAATGTCCTGCTAGACTGAGTCTAAGGCATGTGCTGAAGAAACCAACCAGAGGGGAAATGCTCGTGACCTCATTGTCACCAACCTACCAATAGCAGATAGATCTGTCCGTGACGGTATTGGTAAGAGTGACCACTATGCATTTCTTGTAGAGATGAAGTCCAATCTTCATACTGATGATACTTCCATCGTGTTGTATGGTGTTATCAATGTGCTGAATTGGTGATATTTTAAAAAAGATCTATCAATTCAAGACTGGCATCCATGAGGTACTGTGGGTTAACAGCAGCAGGAGAATTGTATTCAATCACAATCTCTAATCTCAGTCCAGGCATAACCACCCCATTATCATCAAGCCAGTGGATCAATCCTGGTTCAATGAAGCATGCAAGAGGATATGCCAGGAATAGCACCAGCTGTACCTATAAATGTGGTGTCAACCTGGGGAAGCCACGATGCGGACTACTTGCATGCCAACCTGTGAAAGCAGCAATTGTTTGACAGAGCTGAGTGATCCCTCCGCCAAAGGACCAGACATAAGTCCTGTCACATCTGGTCATGAAAGGTAGTGGACAACTAAATAATTAACAGGAAGTGGGGATTCCACAAATAACCCCATCCTTAATGATGGGAAAGCCCAGCATATTAGTGTGAAAGACAACACTGATACATTTATAACAGTCTTCTGCCAGCAGTGCCAAATGGAGTTCTCAGCCACCTCCAATGGTCTCCATTATCGCAGTTGCCAGTCTTCAGCCAATTTGATTCACTCCCTGTGATACCAAGACTTGGCTGATGTCACTGAAAACTGCAAAGGCCATTGGCTCTGAAGACATTCTGGCAATAGTACTGAAGGCTTGTACAGAACTGGTTTCATGCCCCAGACATGCTGTTCCGGTATAGCTATTATGCCGACATGCACCTGGCAATGTGGAAAATTGCCCAGGTATGTCCAAGGCACAAAAAGCAGGTCATGTCCAACCCGGCCAATGACCATCCCAACAATCTACTCTTAATTATCAGTAAAGTGATGCTCAGTTTGGATTCCACCAGAGCCATGCAGCTCCTGACCTCATTACAGCTGTGGTCCAAATACAGGCAAAAGAGTTGAACTCAGAACGGGAAGTCAGAGTCACTACTCTTGACATCAAGGTAGCATTTGATTGAGTGAGGCATTAAGGCATCCTAACAAAATTAGAGTCAATTGGAATCAGCATAAAACTTTCTTCTAGTTAGAGACATATCCCTCACAAAGGAAGACAGTTGTGGCTTTTGGAGGTCAATTATCTCATCCTCAGTATATCTCTGCAGGAGTTCCTCGAGGTCATGTCTTCAGCCCAAACATCTTCAACTGTTTCATCTATGACCTTCCCCCAATCATCAGTGGGGATGTTTGTTGATGATTTCACAATGTTCAGCACCATTCATGACATCTCAGATACTGAAGCAGTCTGTGTCCAAATGGAGCAAGACCTGAATAATGTGATTGGGGTATATACCTGCAGTGGTTCAAGAAGGGAATTTACCACCACAATCTCCAGCGTAAAAACACTGAAACTCCCTTCATAAGAAGAATGTGGGTGCACCCACGCCTCAAGATAATGTTTACTGTGAGCTTGTTAACGATAAATAGGATAGGTAACAAATGCTGGCCTAGCCAGTGATGCCCACATCTCATGAAAAAATGAAGGGGAGGCAATGGCCTAGTGGTATTATCGCTCGACTGTTAATCCAGAGAGACCCAGGTAATGTTCTGGGGACCTGGGTTTGAATCCTGCCACGCCAGTTGGTGGAATTTGAATTCAATAAAATGTCTGGAATTAACAATATAATGATGACCGTTAATCCATTGCTGGTTGTCATAAAAACCCATCTGGTTCACTGATGTCCTTTAGGGAAGGAACCTGCCATCCTTACCTGGTCTGGCCTACATGTGACTCCCGACACAGCAATGTGGTTGACTCTGGGCAATGAGGGATGGGCAATAAATGCTGCCTGGCCAGTGATGCCCTCATCCCATGAATGAATAAAGGAAAAAAAAACAAATAAATTTAAAAAAACACAGGGAGGATACAGAGAGGCTGGTTTGAGAGATGGCGAGGGGTATTTGGAGGTTGGTGGGCGTGATCATGGTGAAAATTCTACAGATCCAGTTCAGAGAACTATTAGAAAGTATTGAGTTGAATTTGGAGGGCTGAGGCAATTTGCTGGTACTGGATTGAGGGAGCTTTATTATCATCTGCCTGTGAGTGATGTGAAATAACTTTGAGGATAGCCAGCATAAAATCACAAATGTAGCTCTTACACACATCAATGCAGTTGAAGGGTTTGTTGATCTTGTACCCAAAGGAACCTTGCTGCACGTGAATATTTGTCAAATGTTGGGATGTGGATGCTCTGCTATTCTACCTAACAACCTATTGACTCTGTCTCCCCAGAGTGACAAAGGCAACTTAGACCTGTCACGTGACCTTCCAGTGAGCTTGAAACTGTAAAGCTACAAGATTCACCTCAGAGAAAAATAAGTTGCCCTTGTCCAAAGCCTTTCACAGCCCTGGCCTTTTACTGACGTTGGATAAATTGTCTAGGAGATTGAGAGAACTGCCCTGCCCTTCTTCAAATATGCCATGGGTATCTTTTCTGTCGACGCGAGAGAGCAGACACAATCCTGATTTAATGTTTCATCTGCAAGGTAGCACTTTGGAAAGTGCAGCACTCCCTCAGCGCTGCACTGGGTTGTCAGCTTGGATTAGGGGCTCAGGTCTCCAGACAGTTGCTCAATCCATGACCTTCACAAACAGAGACAAGAGTGTTACCAATATGTCCGAGGAGGAGAGAGAGTAAAATTAATGAAAACAATTGATCTCTGCTGTTAGTTTTCTCTGCTGGAATAATCTGAACATATTTTGGGGCTCAGAGTGACATAGAGGGTGTTTAGGTTTTGATACCTGAGGAGCAAGCTGGATGGACTAGAGAGTGTTTTTCCAGTTTCTTGATGTTTCTATGAAAATAATCCCTTGATTAGTTCTTCACCTTATCTTCAAATTGCCAATCTTGTTCATACATTTCTGACTCGGGTGAGTGGGGAAAGCTGACAATCGTAGTCATCTCTGGCCAAAACTAAAATTAAACTCCCACATAAAACTGAAAGCATGTACATTATACAACAATAAGAGTGGAATGTGAAGACAATAATCTAATTGCAACGTTCAGGTGCAACATATTGGAATTCTGCTACTGTGCTTTCTAACGCAATCGAGGCTTCTCAGTCACATTACTATTTTGTAATCAATCCTTGACATTAAACATAAACCACTGAAATCTCTCACTGATTTGTCATCTCTTCCGGTTGGTCCCTATACTTTATTTGTGATCTGTTCCCTTCCATTTCTATTGCTTTGTGTAAATTCTCGCAATCCCCGCAGCTGCTCATAGGTCAGTGTAACAGTCCCTTGATCCCTATAGATCACTGGTAGTCAGAGGAATTAGCAACTGCCCCCACCCAACTCTTACCCCTCCCACCTTATACCTCAGGGCTCAAACGTGGTGAATATTTCCAGAGGTGGGGATTAGTCCTGGATGGTTTCCGCTCTCTTTCACAGTCACCTCTTCTGTGATATGGTATAGGTATGCTGTGGTCTGAGACACTGTGATGCATTCCACAGCCTAATAGTCTTTTCCTTGGTATGCTTACAAAGAAGGCCAATTGGTTAATGAAGTTTGCAGATATGATACCACAGTAAGCATGTACAGTAAAGAAGGAAGGGACCATGAAAAAAGAATCATCTACAACAATAAACTGTGCAAATGTTCTGGCAGGCCAGCCTCCTGCCCTACTCCCTTTCCTTCACAGTTACATGCAATAAGACTGAATCATAGAATTCTTACAGTGTGGAAGCAGGCCATTCAGCCCATCAAGTCCACAGCAACCCTCAAAAGAGCATCCCACCCAGACCCACCCCATCCTTGTAACCCCACATTTCCCATGGCTAATCCACGTAGCCTGGACTGTGGGAGAAAACCAGAGCACCTGGAGAAAACCCGCACAAACACAGTGAAAGTGTGTAACCTCCACGTAGATGGGGTTGAACGTGGGTCCCTGATGCTGTGAGGCTGCAGTGCTAACCACTGAGCCATCGT